CACACACACACACACACACACACACACACACGAAGCACATCCTGTGGGCCCTGCACCCTGCAGTGGAGCTGGGCTCTCATTCTGCTTTTCGCTTCCCATCTCTGCTGCTGTCCTTCTTAAGCCCGAAGCACCCTGATTCTGACTTACCCTTAAGTCTCTGGACGTGACCATCTCTAAGGCTGGATCCCCATCTGACCCTGCACCACCTTCAGGTAGCTCCTTTGTGGGCACCGGGGTGCTCTTCCACCTGTCCCCAGCTCCTACTCTCCAATGTGGCCCTTCTCTGCCCAACACCCTTCACAGAGTGGCATCCTGAATCTGAAAGGCTTCCCACCCAGGAGCCCTGGCACCACCGTGCACTGCCCCCTCCTGGCTGGCTCTGCACACCTGGGCCGAGTGTCACCCAGTCTTTACAGGGACCTATGGGGGACCTACAAGGACAGATTTGCTTGCCATCCGTCATCTCTCCAGATGGCTGGAAATGAATATAGCACTCGATAACCATAGAGAAGAAACCATCCTATAATCAGTGGATGCATGAGAAATGTGTGAAAGTCAGATGACACCACTTATTTCTCCTTTTAGAATTAGTTTCAAAGGTTTTCATTTCCCATAAACGACATAACTTGCAAAACAACCAAGTTCCACCCCCATGGCATGGGCGAGCCAGGTGAGAACAGTTGTGGTTAGAAAGGAGCAGAGTTCAGGAGGGAAGAGCAGGACAGGAGCCTTCAGGCAGCGCTAGGTTACAGATGCATCCACTTAGATAGATAAAATGCCAGGCTGCCCTGAGAATCCAATGAACAACAGATGGCTGAGCACTGTTTTGTTCCCCTCCCCGCTCCCACACCGGTGACGCCATTTATGGGCACTTCCTGTGGAGACTATGTCAGGAAAGACAGCCCAGGACCGGAAGTCATCCAAGTCATTTCTCTTGGTGAAGATGTCATCTGGATTCTGTCTCGCCAAGCAGGCCACAGACCAACAGGACTGCCCCAGTCCTCGTCACACTTGCTTTTCTTTGTCTTTCTCTAAGCAGACTGTGCACCACATAAAAGCAGGGAGTTTGAGCACAAGGGAACAGTAACATGCACAGGCCTGCCAAGACCTGTGGTTCCCAGTTCCGATGCAGTGAGAAGTCCAGGGAAGAGCCGTCCTGGTGGGCAGACATCTCAGCAAAATGCCTTCCAGCACAGCGGCGTGGCGGAGGCTTTGTCACAGAAGCTCACACCGGTTCATCTGAACCTACGCTGCAGTCCTTGCTTAAAGCAGGCTGTGCACTACTAGAAAGCTTAACATCGTTTTAATCCTAGAAGGATGCATTTGTACATTCGTCTTATAGGTACTGACTAAACTCACATGTGGTTTTTCACCTCAAAACAAACAAGTGCTTATATATTACCCATTAGGTCTCTGTTGTGTGTTAGATCCAGTATCTACTTATTTACTCATTGGGGTACTAGGAATCCAGTTCAGGACCCTGTGCCTGGCCGGCAGCTGGGATGCTGAGTCATGCCCTCTGCATCCTAAACTTGATTTCTAAAGCTCTCCCTTGTCTCCGTGCACCTTCCTGGTCCCAAAGACACTAACATCTGGAGTGCAGAGCCCACCCAGCTCTTCTTCCTAGGTTCTTCCTTATGGGTGGCCACCGGCACACAAGGGCAGACATGCCACCTGCAGAGGTGCAGAAGGCACTTGGGAGGGACAGGCACGGCTGAGGAGCAGGAGTGGGACACAAGCCAGGGCAGCCCTGAAGCCAGCGCGGCATCCCTGGGGCAGACGCCATGTGCCGCAAGCTGCTGTCCCTGAGCCGTGACTATGAGGAAGCTGCTATGGCTGTCCCCACCCAGCATCTCAGGCCTGATGTCCCACTCCTGCGATGGCCGCAGAAGAGCTCGGTGCGATCCACGCGTGCTCCCAGGCCCTGAGGAGCCCTCAGCCCTCTCCTTCCCTCCGCTCTGCGGCTCAGGGCGCAGCTGGCTCCCTGCTGCAGTGTGCAGTGGTCCCCCGGCTCTGAGAAGAGGGTCTGGGGTACGAGACCCGGAAGCATCCCCTGCTTTTCCTGCATCCACTGGTGATTTACAAGCATGGGAAAGCTGCCAGGGACCAGACACAGCTGCCCTGAGAGGGACACGGCAACACCTCTGCTCAGAGTGAGGCTGGGACGACCTGCCACCTCAGGTTCTGGAGTCACGAAAGGACTCCAGACTGCGACTGGAAGAGACTCAGCTTCCTCACATCAAAGATGAGGCTGCTGCTGTGCATGCTGCCTCCTCTCGTGCTGCTCCTCAGCTGTCGCTGGCTGAAATGTTGAAAAGGGGGTAACACATAAAAGCTGTGCGTGGGTGCACATTCTCTATAAATGAAATTCTATTCCTTAACTGTTTCTCCAAACCCATATAAAGTCCATAGCATGCATGGGTCACATGAATATATAATGACACTAAAGTTACACTGTCTCAACTGGGTGCAGTGGTACACACCTAAAACCCCAGCCCTCTCTCTGAAAGGCTGAGGCAGCAGGATCCCAAGTTCAAGCCCAGCCTAGGTAACTGGTAACTTAATGAGACCCTGTCACTAAAATAAAACAAAAGAAAGTAACACAAAGGAAATGGAGATATAGCTCAAAGAGAAGGCCTAGGCTCAACTGCCACTACAGACAGACAGACAGACAGACAGACAGACAGACAGACAGACGAAAGAGAAAGAAAGAAAGAAAGAAAGAAAGAAAGAAAGAAAGAAAGAAAGAAAGAAGAAAGAAAAGGAAGAGATGTATATTCATCTGGCCTGAAGACAAGGAGATTCTGAGCTGCTACAGTGCAATGAAGGAGTGTGGGAGCTGTCTAGCTGGGTTACCACCCTGTTGATTTAGGGCTGTCCACATATGTGGTCTGATTACATTTAAGGAAAGAAGACAAAATCCGCAAGACCTCCAAGACCCATTAGAATAATAAAAAGATAATTTTAACTAAGAAAATAGAATGTTTAGCTAATAGTCTATGTAGCTTTACACACACACACACACACACACACACACACACACACACACACACACACAATGACTCCAGTTTCTTCCATCACTTAGAATTGCCCCTAGAACCCCGGGATAGAACATCCACTAATTTTATGCTAACCACCCAAGGGCAAAGGATAAGCAGGGAGGCAGGACTCTGGTCGAGAATAATCCCCAGGCCCACAGCCAAGCCCCGAGGCTTCAAGCTCCACACAGCCAGCCGCAGCCGGGTGGCATCCCGGGAGGGTTGCATGGTGGCCACCCACAGCCAGCGGCGCTCCCACCCAGGCCTGCGCTCTGTGCGCTCATAAATCTGATTTGCAGCTGGGGATAAGCACATTTCAGACAAAAATGTGCTTTACATCTAATGTACGAGTGAAATCTGAACAGACTTTGTTTCTACGAAGTCAGTTATTCGCTTAACACACATGCAGGGCTCCACCCTGAAGCCAGAGGAGAGGAGCGTTTCCTGGCTAGAACAGCCACACTTGTCAGCGAAGACGCTCCAGGCCAGAACCCGCGGGGTGCTCCCTCAGTCGCGGCCCTCCAGCTCCACCCCCTTTCTCTGCCCTGCCTGTTCCTGTCCCCCCTCCACCTGCCCTCATACTTTGAGCTCCTTTAGTGGGGCTAAGAAGGAGAAAATAGATTTGTGCGATAAAATGGAAACCGTTTCCCTTTTAAAACACTGATGTTCACTTTCAAAATTCCAACGTGTCTGTGATGTCACCCTTGCTGCGGTGTCCCGCCCAGCACACACGCAAATGCAGGTGCACGAAGTGTCTCCAGCCCGTCCCATGCCCAGGGCCACCCTCCCCTGCTTGGAGACTGCGGGGTGCCTTCACTGTCCTGGCAGAAGGATTTGTTCCAGATTCCTTTGCTTTCTCAGTGTGTATGTGTGTGATATACATTCTTAACTAAGAATATTCTTTAGAGGGAAAAAGTAGCAACCTGGAAATCTTGGTGTCATATGATTTATAAAACAATATTATACATATACAATTGTTTATCTAAAAATTCCAGCAATGAGTCAGTGGAAATCACTTCTGTTACCTGCAAGATGACAGTGCAAGCTACCCCGGACTCCCACGCTGTGTGACCGACACTGAGGTGGCTGGCTGATGTCACCCTGAGTCAGCAGTGCTGCTGCTGCCTCCTCCCCCTCTTCCCTTCCTCCTCTTCCTTCTCCTCTCCCCCCTCCCCCACCTCCTCTTCTTCCTCCTCTTACCCCCTTCCTCCTTTTCCCCCTCCTCCTCCCCCTTGTCTTCCTTCTCCTCTTCCTCCTCCCTCTCTTCCCCCACCCCTTCCTCCTCCTCTCACCCTTCTCCTCCTCCTCCCCCTCTTCTCCCACCTCTTCCTCCTCCCCCTTCTTCTCTTGCCTCTCTGATCCAGCCTTTGGCAAAAATGACCTTTGGTCCCTGTACACTACGTCTTGTGTGTTTTGTCACAGTGACTGCTATCTGACTCTTACAGCAACTTGCCCGATCCTTTCACATGCTTTAGAGACCAGCGTTGGCCAAGAGGCAGGTGAAGCACAAGGAGCCCCCTGGCTTCTCTGCCAGCTCCAGCGGAGGCTCTTGGGTCCCTGAGGGTCAGCTGCATGAGGATGAAGCCCACACTCCCAGGCTGGTTTGCACACTTCCGGGAACACAGTCTCCTTGCAGCAGGCAGTTTTCCTGGGAAGGCTGTGGCGGCTGCCCATGCTGACCTCCCCCCTCCAGGATCCCACTGGCAGTCACAGGCTTGGGGTCACCCACCTGCCAGCCTTGCAGCTTGCACTGCTGGAGAACAAGCCGGCATCTCTCCTCCGCAGACAGCGGCTGCTTCCTCTTGCCTGGGAGGGTCTCAGCCAAGGGCCTGTATCTGTGGAGACAGCAGCACAGGCACAGTTACCACGTGTGAAAGGCAGATGCAGTCCACAGGGAGGCCGGGCCTACCTGCTCTTGGTGCTCTCCCGTTAGCCCAGGACCCCGAGGGCACTGCACAGCTGACTGTGAAAGGACTTCCCTTTTACAGGAAAGCCACTTTAAAAGTGACTCAGATATGTGTTCCGGCCCTTCGTGTTTTCCACTGTCACGAAGGAATGTGAATCACTTACTCAAAGAACATCCCAAGAGAATAAAAGCTAACCTCCTGTCAGCTACACTTTTGGCTTGCTTTTTAAACAACACCTTTTTAAGAAACGGGAGCATCTTCTATTACCACCTGAAAGTGCATCTAGACGTTGTTAAGGCCCCTGCTAAGGACTGTCAGCATATCTTTAGGTCTTACTTAAGTGGGAGCCAGGACAACATGATCACATTTTAGGTATTGAGTATTACAAATGTTCATAAGCACATTTTCAGTTTACAAAGAACCTTCCATCCTCTAACTGAAATTCACAGCCACATAACTGTTTCCTATACATTTTTCAAAAGGACTCTCAAAACGTCTGTTACTTTCTTAGTCCACGTGTGCAGTGCATGAGGCTTGCCTCTCTGTGGAGCCGGAGCGCCTCTTCCAGTCCCTGAGCCCCCTTTCATCTCTTCCTGCTCTTCCGCTCCCCACTCCAACCCTCAATCCCTGTTGCACATTAGAAAGCTGCATCTCCTTATTTTTATCACCTATCTTTTATCTTGCTCTTTATTTATAGTTTGGGTGGCCTGTGTGAAAGACCCCACGTGACATCCCAGCTATGCGTCTGATTCAACTTAACACGGTCTCAAGGTGCATCCATTTTTCTACGAATGACCACTTCGTCCTTCTCTCTGGCAGAGTAGTGCCCCAGCGTGTGCGTGGCACACTGTCCATTCATCTGCTGCAGGACGGAGGCTGCTTCCGAGATTTGGCTGCTGCGTGCTGTGTTGCTGTGAGCGAGGGTGTACACAGGCCACTGCAGTAGGCCATCCTAAATGCTTCCAGGGCTGCTTAGAAGGGGGACAGCAGGGTGGTGGGATCTCTAGCCTTAGCTTCCGGGGAACTCTGCAGCATGCACCAGTCCACATTTCCACCTCACTGTTGTACCTAGGACACGAATTGGCTTCTTGCGAAGGCAGCTGAGCCTGCAGCTGTGTCTACTGCATCCAGCGTATGCAAGGAAGAGGACAGAGACCCAGGCACAGTAGGAATGTCGGGCCGGGCAGGGTGCCCAGGCTGCAGGTGTGGGCCTCCAGGAGGTGCTAGCAAGGCCTCAGGGCACTGCCACATGTACCAGTGTGGCTGCCTGGGGGATGATGCTCAGGACTGCTCCTTCTGGGGCTGAACGGGGGGAAGGGGGGTGGTGCCATACACTTGGGGTGGGGGACAGAAGGGAGGCTGGGCTGTGACAGCAGCACCCAGCTGCACACACAGGTGCTCGGAGGCCCTTGGCAGGTCGCCTGGAGGCAATTTTCTGCCTCCAGTCAGGGTGAGGGTCATTCAGAGCCAGTACTGCCTGTGTGCTTCTCTACTCCAAAGCACAGCTCTCCACCCAGTGGCTTGGGCCACATGCAGAGCTACGGTGTCCACTAGATCTGCCTTCGCAGAGAGCAAGTGAAAGAAATGGAACAGGAAGTGGGGAGCAGCCAGGAAGTGGGGAGGAGCCAGGAATTGTGGTCTTCCCCTGCATGCGGGCAAGGGGCCATCAGTGTCACGGCGCACATGCAGATGCCAGAAGCCCAGGCGTGGTCTGTCGCTGGAAGACATGGTGACGAGCTCGCTGTCTCCCCCACAAGATCAGCGCCTGCGGACTATTGGGCAGCAGGATCTGTGCAGAGTGATGCAGTCAACACGTGACTCCTGAGGTGGCCCCCAAGCCAGCAAGACCCACGCAAAAGAGGAGGAGACCGGAAGTGACATCACAGCACAACACCATGAAGTGGTGGCTGAGCTAAGAAGGCGCACCAAAGCCCGAGGGCCACCTCCAGGGCGGGGACTCAGCCAGGAAGGCCTGGGTTCCAAGTCCAGGGTAGCGGTGGTCCTGCTGAGCCCTCCAGCTTTGGCTTCTGGCCTCCTGCAACTCAAGCACATGAACTTCCACCTCTCCAGGCTGACTGTGTGTGGTGCTGTGACAGCAGCTCTTGGAACCACAGGGGAAGAACACGTGGCCAAGCTGCAGTCCGACCTTGGGTGGCCTCTTGCAGACAGTCTTTCCATCACCTGTGCTGTGCCCAGGGAGAACCATCCATCCCATGCCTGACCGGGCAATGCCAGAAAGGGACAGTCCCGCAGCCCTGACATCAGCGCAGTGCGCAGAGGGAGGACCTGCTCCGTGTGCCTCAGGATGACCGTGGCCACAGGAAGCAGCACACACTCCTTTGTGCCCGTGGGAGGATCAAGGCATTGCTGCCGAGCGTGTGTCACACAGCACCAAGAAATCACTCAAATTATCTCTTTATTCTCCCTGATAATTTTCTTTTTCAAGATCTTTGTTAATTATCATCAAGAATTTAATTGATGTAGTTCTAGCATTTCAATATAGTATGAACAAGTCAGAAGGAAAATCTCGCTCTTCAGAACTTTTTCCCCTTTGCTTTGTACTGTTCTTTTGACACTTAAATGGTGTAATTCTAACATTTCAATGGAAAAGACAGACACATCATCTTAGACAGGGATGAGATACTGTGTTTAGGGTGCTTTTAAAAATCGTATCTTTGGAATGTCAGGCCACATGCAAGGTGGCGTCTCTGGAGTAGAAGTGCAGGATCACACTGTGTCACCACTGAGGCACAGCCTTGGGGACCTTGCCCAGGGCCACCTCTGCGTCCCCAGCAGTCCTGCTGTGCTCCACCCAGGACAGAGCCCCTGGAGCTTGCACATCCTGTCTCAGCATGCTCTGGGCTGGGACCGTTGCCATGATGGTACCCCCAGCTTGAATAGGGCTCTGGGGGCCCCTCATCAGGCTCAGTCAGTGCAGTAATGTTGACTGAGCACGTGGAGGGTGCTGGAAGCCTTTGGGTGCTAGAATGTAGAAGGGCAGACCGAGACCAGACCCAGTCCTGGGGCTCTCAGGGGAGAAGATGAGGAAAGGAGGGAGAAGGAGAGAAGCAGGGAAGGGCACAGGATGTGGTGAGAACTGTGTGGGGCACGCAGGGACAGAAGCCTATGCTGTGAGGAGGGCTCGGGCCCTTAGGAGCATGGGGAGGCCAGCATGCCTGGGGAAGGAAAGGTGAGCACAAGGGCATTGGAACCAATTCCCAGGTAGACCTGGGGGGAGGGATACAGGCTATCCTGAGGCCTGGGCCCCAGGGGCTTCAGAAGAGCCTTGTCCCTATATCCGGTGTCCGAGGGCATTGCTGAAGCCCAAGACACTGTCTTGGGCTGCAGTGCGCATGGAACAACCTGAGGCCACCTGAGCTTTTCCTGCCACCCAGGGAGAAGTCCTGGACCAGGGCAGTGGTGAGAAGGAGTGACAGAAAACTACAGTGACTATGTTAAAACCATTCTTACAGTAAAAGACATGTGACCATGAACTATGCAAACCCTCCTCTTGCTTCGCGTGTTCCTCCCACTGCCCTGGAGCTTCCTGCAGCAGCTCTGGAGTCCCCTTTCCTGAAGATCTTTGGTTATGCTGTCCTGGCTGCCTGGATGCCTTGAATTGGATTAAAAACGCTTCTCTGTCATCGTTTTGGCTTTGGGGAAGAGCCAGAAGCCACACGGTGCCCGCTCCGGGGGCTAGGGTGGCTGAGGACACAGCTCCAGGTCCTCACGTGCTGCCTTCGTGTTGGCTGGCCTCAGCAGCAGCATTCACTGTGCTTTTGATCACACCTCATACAATCACTGAGGAAGAGGGCTGCAGAGCTGCTGCGAGACGGAGACACGCGTGCCCAAGCATCTGCGGCAGGCTCGTGTGCCTTGCACCTGAAGGCTTCTGCGACTCCCCTCTGCTTCCTCCCGCCTCACAAAGACCTCGGCACGGGTGCTGGGAGGCGCAGGGAAGTGCAGGCCAGGCCAAGCGTCGGTGTGTGTCGGTGCTGTGCTGGGCTCGGGTAGCCGGAAGAGCTTTCCTGCCAAGCTGCTGCTATGGCAACAGCAGGGTGGCCGTGCAGCTGAGAGCCAGAAGGCATGCTCTGAGGATGCAGGAGCAGGCGTGGGCCACAGACACCCCGGACCCCAGGGCCCGGAGCCACGGCGCTGCACCCCAGGTTGCCAGGCATCAGTGATCCCCACCCTGGGCTCGCAAGCCTGAATCGGGCAGCAGTGAGTGGGCAGGAGACTGCACCTGTCCCACCCCAGTGCCCGGGACTCCAATCAGCGGTGGAGAGCTCCCATGTGCCCTCCCCTGCCACCTCGGGTGTTCTCTCCCCTCTGCTGTCTCTTCCATCCTCAGCTGCTGGTGTACAGTGGGGCACAGTGGGCGGGGTGCAGTGGGGTGCAGCTATCTCCTCCACGCCAGGAGACACTACTCTCTATGTCCTGGACACCCCCTCCCCACATCATGAGGAGGACAGCAAGACAGCAAAACAGGTCTCTCTGAAAGTCAGTGCCCTCTAGTACGAGAACCCTGACTCTGAGCTCACGGTCCCAGAGACACATAGAGCTCCAGCAGCGGCTGTAGATGGCCCTGTAGACACACGCGAGCTCCAGCAGCGGCCACAGAAGTCATGACCAACTCGGCTCCTCTAAGAAGACAACGAGGAAGCACAGTCCTTTGTTGGCAAAATCCAAGGTTGTGAATGGAGCTATTTTCTTTTACCCTCAGATAGCTCCTCTGAATTTGTTTCTGTTGTGATTAGACATCTGTCTCTGCATTCTCAAAGAAAATTCTATCATTCTGGTGTCCTAAAATCCCTGAAAATTTTAATTCTTTCAGCCTTATTTATTTATTGAGCACCTACTGAGTACACGAGAGACTGCCTAGCTGGCCGCTGCAGTATGTGAGGTTACTGTCCCATTTCATCGCCTAG